AAGGAGTTTGCAAGCCGCTCTGAGACACCTTTGGGTAGTGAAGGGCGGGGTATAAATCCGATCTCTTCCTCTTCTTCTTTTATATCCCCGCCTTTCTCCTCGCTGTCGATCCGAGGCAGCTGACGGTGTTCGCCTCTCTGCCGTTTCCTCCCCACAGCCACTCTGTGCGGTAGATTCAGGTGGGGTAGCCGTGTCAGTGAAGCCACAGAACAAAATTCGAGTCCAGGGGGATCTTTAAGACGAACAAAGTTTTATTTTTGGGTGTGAGCTTTCGTGCGCACGCACACTTTTGTATTCTGAAGAAGTGTCCATGCACAACAAGGCTTATAACCTCGAATAAAACGTTGTCGGTCTTAAAGGCGCCCGTGGACTCAGACTTCGTTCTGTGAGGTCGGTGAGGCTGAGAGTGCGTGGCTGGGCCCGAGGTCGCCCAACAAGCTTCCGTGACAGTGTGGGAGAGCTGTGGCACAAGATCCAAAGGTACAATGAGTAAGAAAGGAGGTCTCCGAGATCCCTTCCCACGAGTGGCTTCACATTCCCTTTGCTTTCGAACGGCTAGGTTGGCAGGAGCTGGGGCGACAGATAGGAGCTCACTCTGTCATACAGCACGGGGGTCTTGAACTGCTGAACTACCGACCTTCCGGTCTGCTGCTCAGCGTCTTAACCTCTGAGCCACCGTGGCCCCAGGAGCCACCTTAAAGACTAACAAAATTTGTGGCAGGGGAGGAGCTTTCGTGAGTCACAGCCAATGTTCCCTCTAAGCTGTGGAGTCTTGTGAGCAAAAATTCTACTTTGTGAGCTACTTGCATTAAAGTTATGAGCAAGCAATTTGGCTCCTGCATAAGTTAGTTTGTTCTGGAGCCCTCCTTCCTGAGCTAAGACAAAAATGTGTGAGCCGGAGGCTAAAAAACTGTGAGCTAGCTCACACTAACTCAGCTTAGAGGGAACACTGGTCACGGCTCACTTCTTCAGATACAGCTAGAATGGGAGTCCATCTGTCCTTATATATGAAATCATCCCTCTCTCCCAAGATAGAAGGACAGATGGACTCATATTCTAGCAGTAGAAAATAGCAAGAGTCCAGGAGCACCTTAAAGATTTAGCAAAATCTGTGGCAGGAGAGGAACTTTCGTGAGTCATGGCCCACTTCTTCGAATACAGTTAGAATGAGAGTCCATCCATCTGAAATCGTTCCACCCTCCAAGATACAAGGACAGGTGGACTCATATTCTAGCAGAATCCAGGAGCACCTTAAAGACTCACAACATTTGTGTCGGGGCAAGAGCCTTTGTGAGTCACCGTTCACTTTTTTTTAGTCTTTCAGGTGCTACCGGAGTCTTGCTCTTTTCTGCCGCTACAGACAAACGAACACAGCTACCCGTCTTGATGTATTTCCTTTTGCGCGTAGGATTCAGGCGGCAAAATAATATTGGAGTATTCTTTTTTGGCCTGCTGCCTATATCAGAAAGGAGTTTTATTGTGCCATCTGATGTAACCGTATGTCCAAAATGTGTACTTGAGTCTCTGCAGACTGAAAGTGAAGTAAATAATGAACCAAAGCTGTCATCTTGCAGAATGCTTTTTTAATTTTTAACTTTTAAGTCTATAAACAAGCGCAATATTCCAGGGAAACAGCTAAGTACAACTCAGCTATAACTAGGCCCTTGCCCCTTCCACCTAAACGAATGTGGTGTTTTGAGCCAGTTTGGTGCTGTGGTTAAGTGCGCGGACTCTAATCTGGGAGAACCGGGTTTGATTCCCCACTCCTCCACTTGCAGCTGCTGGATGACCTTGGGCAAGTCACAGTTCTGTCAGAGCTGTTCTCTCAAGGACAGTTTTCGAAAGAGCTCTCTCAGCCCCGCCTACCTCATAGGGTGTCTGTTGTGGGGAGGGGAAGGGAAAGGAGTTTGTAAGCCGCTCTGAGACTCCGAGTAAAGGGCGGGATATGAATCCAATGTCCTCCTCCTCTTCTGTAAGAAAAAATAGAGAAACGAGTCGTTGCCTTAGTGTGGTTATTCTGTTATTATCCTGGAGATTACATAGATTCATGGAGGATAAGTCTATCAAAGACTACTAGCCATGGTGACTGAGGGGAACCTCCACATTCAGAGGCACTGAACCTCTGAATCCCAGAGCCAAGAGTAAATGTCAGGGGAAGACCTCAGCCTCTATACCCTGTTGTTGGCTTTCCAGAGGAACTGTTTGGCCACCATGTGAGACTAGATAGACCACTGGTCTGATCCAGCAGGGCTCTTCCAATGTTCTTATGAAGGCCTTGTCCTCTATGCCCTGTTGTTGGCCCTCCAGAGGAACTGGTTGGCCCCTGTGTGAGACAGGATGCTGGACTAGATGGACCACTGGTCTGATCCAGCAGGGCTCTTCTGAGGTTCTTATGAAGGCCTCGGCCTCTCTGCCCTGTTGTTGGCCCTGGAGAGGAACTGGTTGGCCCCTGTATGAGACAGGATGCGGGACTAGAGGGACCACTGGTCTGATCCAGCAGGGCTCTTCTGATGTTCTTATGAAGGCCTCGGCCTCTGTGCCCTGTTGTTGGCCCTCCAGAGTAACTGGTTGGCTACAGTGTGAGACAGGATGCTGGACTAGAGGGACTATTTGTCTGAACCAGCAGGGCTCTTCTGATGGTCTTATGTTCTTAAAGGATCCAACTCAACCACACGACCACCCAGGAGGCAATTCCCACGTCTGCGCATCCTCTCCACCGAGCACTAGATTGACTTTTTAAAAATCTCTTTCACTCTGCCTGGAAACATCAGCCCCACTCTTTTCAGAAGTTCAGTGCATTTTGCCACATGACAGGACTATAAATTTCAGCGCGCGCGTGGGCCCGTTGCCACCAAAGCATGGATTTATTCGCCGGGCGGCGACTGCGGGCCTCCATAACTTTCGTGGAGAATGATGTCTGAAACATCATCAAAAATACGGTGTTTGATATATATTGGCAATCGGTAGTTTGTTACTGGTAATTCACTTCCAATGATTTAGAAAATCTTAAATCACGCAAAGGCGTTTAATATACTTTAAGACGGAACGGGGAAGTGTGTCTTGCATTGTTCTGGTGGCAGTTACATGCCGTAGCCTGAGTCGCCGTCGCAAGTGACAAATTACCCTGGACACGCTTCATAAATTGGGACTCCTGGATTCAGTGAGATCCCCGTGTTATATACAGTTAATCGTGTAATGCGTCCCTCGGAAATGACACTTAAGAGTGTTGAGTGAGGTTTAGCCATTTGTACGAGATTGTTGGTGAAATATACCCAGCAGGGCAAGTATGCAGACTCTGGAAGAGATCCAGGCAGTTCTGGGAGACACAGGGAGGAACTTCTGAATGCTGTACTGGCATTGGGGAAAGCCTTGAGCAACTGCTAAAAAAGGGGTTGTTCGTTTTTATGCTGACCCTGTAGGGTGGGGGTGTCAAACATGCGGCCCGGGGGCCGGATCAGGCCCCCGGAGGGCTTCTATCAGACCCACAGTGGGACTGGCCGTCTCCTGCTTCTTCTTACAGTTCTGCTGCTGCTGCGTCGTCGTAGGTTTGCAGCTTACAGATACACACCTGAACAGCATACTCAAGATTGCAACGGCACAGACATTTTGATGCAGTAATTCAGAGCAAGAGGTGTCCATTATCAGACACGGTTAAATAAAATATTGCAGGAGTGGTAATGTTTTAAGCTTGTTTTTATTTTAAGTAAAAAAACCC